TAGAGATTGAGAGTAAAAAACATGAGTTTTCTTCCTTTGACTGTTTTAGAGAAGTCAAACACAACTTACCAAAGATTTCAAGAAAAAACATGAAGTATATTTTTCTTTTTTAGAAAAGTGAATGTTTGTGTTGATCAGAGAAAAACTTTCACGAAAACAAAAATTTCAAAAAATAAACAAAACTAAAACACAAAATAAAAAAGAAAAACACAAAAACATAACACGAAAACATGAAAGGCTTTTAACAATTATCTCTCTCCTAGTCCGATGCTTCAGAAACCAGATCTGCCCATGAGATTTTTTGTCTTTCATTATTTCTTCAGTTTAAATTTTGCTTCGCCTTGCCATTTTCTTTCATAGGAAGAATTTTTAAATTATGGCATTGATTTTTCATATGTCTAGGATTCCTACATCGAAAGTAAATAACGTCAGAAGGAATATGAACATCCTTATCATTTTTACTTTTCTTTCACTTTTGCGTATGCTTTAGCGAGTTTTGTGATTTACTTGACAAGTCATTACATTCGTCACAAACTAAGCTATCTTTTTATGTATCTTCAACTTTTAGAACAATCGTTTCACCCTCAATAGGAGATAACTGTTTGATCGTCCCGTACGATATGATATCGTCCCGTACGATCAGTATAAATTTTATATGATCTCCTTATGTGTGTGTGTATATTTTTATTCACTTAATTACAATCACTCCCTTTCAAATTTAATTCAAAGAAAAGTACAAGCTTCAAATTCACAAAGTATCTCATGTTGAATTTTATTTGAAGTCTTCGTAGTCTGGAGTTTGATTTTCCTGAAATGTTAGTACACACAAGAGAAAATACAAATCTTCTAAAATTGTTAGGAGATAACTACACATTTGAACAATAATGTTTGGAATCAACAAAACTATACAAGTTGAATAAATGTAAAGTATGCAAATAGCAACTATCTTAACATATCACCCACCAACTGTTGTCCCTCCTACCTAAATCACTTGTAGATAACAGTCCCTCTGACCTATATCGCCAATTATCTACAGTCCCTCTAGCCACAGTCGCACTGCAATGATTCTATTGACCAAATGAGCAAGTCAACACTCTCTAGAGAATAACTTTCATATCACTAGATTCTTCTAACTGTAATTAACTAATGTGCTCTATATGTTGTATGAAAGTTCATTAGGAATGTTATGCCCTATAAAACTAGCTCAAGGATAAATAAAGAGAGTGGTGAATTGGTAAAGAAGAAACTTTAAGCAAAGTACAAATCAAAATCACCACAAATAAAATAAATGTGGAAATTAAATGCGTAAGCAAATAATAAGAAAGAACACACCGGATTTATAGTGGTTCGGTCAAATCTTGACCTACGTCCACTCCTTGGAGGCACTCTCCAAGTATTGCACTAAAACAAGTGTCTCTCCTTTAGCCCCCATAGCTAGGCGGAGAAGCCCTTACGAAATCACTTCCAACTTCCCCGGTGCGGCGGAGTCGCCAGGTCCTTTGACACTAAAGAGATCTTCTTCTTTGATGAACTTCCCTCGAGACAAGCCTTGAATCTGACAGTATTCAGGTGCGAGCTTGTCGGAGCAACCGTGTGGAACCCTCTCCACTCTCCCTTAAGTCCCCCCTCACAGGATATTCTCCCTCTCTCAAACTCCACCCTTTCCTCACTCCCTTTCAAGCTCTCTCTTCATGTTTCCCCCAAAAGAATAAATTTATAATGGCTGCCAAAGACACTTACAAAGTGTCATGTCATAGCTTAAATAGAAGATCTCAAAATGAGCTCATTAATGCAAGTTACCGACATTATTGTCCAGGACGATAGATATATCGTTTAGGGTTTAGGGTATATCGTCCTGTACGATCAGTTCAAATTCAGCTCATCAGCCCGAGACGATTTGGGACGATCAGAAAAAAATTGGTTACATCGTCCTGGTCGACCTCACGATCGTCCCAGACGATTAGTTTAAAACCGATTTCAATCGTCCTGATCATCACCCTGAATAGATTCTGGCCAATATAAATCGTCTAGGCAATCATCCTGGTCGATCCTATGATCGTCCTGGACGATGTGATCGTATCAATCAGCCATTAATGCTTTCCAAAGATACCAGACCAATTTAGGCATAATTGAGTTAGATCGTCCTGGATGATGTCTATATCGTCCTGGCTGATTTTCTTAAATAATAAAAACCTAATCTGATCATGGCGGCTGATTCTTTCTAAATTAAGCTTGTCGTCCTAGCCAATACAAGTGTCGTCCAGGCTGATCAGCTCATGACGGCTGCCTTAATGAGGATGCCCTAATTAGGGTTTCTTCTTTTGGACCGATCGTCCAGGCCGATATAAATATCGTCCCGGACGATGTTACCAAAAATAGAAATCTTTAGGGAAGAACAAAAAAATCTTACAAGCTACAAAACATCAGGAGCCACACTAAATACAATAGACACAAGAAAGAAAAAAGTGTATAAACTGACTCAGACCTAGTCTACCCAATCTTGAGCTGGTTTTAAATTGTAGTTTGATCATGTGGACCTGAAATGTTAGTAAAAAAGGTAATCGTAGAGAAATAAGAATGTTTGCTATCATCAAAATCATAAACCATAGATCCACAAAAATCTCCCCCTTTTTTATGATGGCAAAATATTTCAATTTGAATTTTCAAAAGGAATATTTTCTACTAATCTCCCCCTCACTAGAATACCACTTTTTAAAAACTAGGCGAGATAAACATATTTTTGTTGTTTAATTTTTTTTTTAAAGATACAAATATGATAACAATACAAAAAATTCAACAATGCGTTCTCTCCCTTTGACATTATCAAAAAGAGAGGAGGCACAAATAAAAATTAAAATGAACAAAAGATAAAAATGTTCCCTGATCTAGTGAAAAAACAAATATTCTTAAAATGACAAAGTTACCTCTTAGTTTTAATCAAAAACTTAGTAGAATTGGATTGACAACGCATAGCCCAGAAAATGTTAGAAATTCAGAATTTGATGGAGCAACTGTGTGGAACCCCCTCCACACTCCCTTGAGTCCCCCCTCACAGGATCTTCCCCCTCTCTCAAACTCCACCCTTTCCTCACTCCCTTTCAAGCCCTCTCTTTAAGTTTCCTCTAAAAGAACGAAGTTACAATGGCTGCCAAAGACACTTACAAAGTGTCATGTCATAGCTTAAATAGAAGATCTCAAAACGAGCTCATTAATGCAAGTTGCCAACATTATCGTCTATGACGATATGTATATCGTCTTATACGGTCAGTTCAAAGCTCATCAGCCCGAGATGATTTGGAACGATCAGAAGAAAATTGGTTACATCGTCCTGGCCGACCTCACGATCATTCCGGATGATTAGTTTAAACCAATTTCAATCGTCCTGATCATCATCCTGAATAGATTCTAGCCGATGTAAATCATCCAGACAATCGTCCCGGACGATGTGATCGTATCAATCAGCCATTAATGCTTTCCAAAGATATCAGATCAATTTAGGCATAATTGAGTTAAATCGTCCTAGACGATGTCTATATCGTCCTGGCCGATTTCCTAAAACAATGAATACCTAATCTGATAATGGCGGCTGATTCTTTCTGAATTGAGCTTATCGTCCTGGCCAATACAAGTATCATCCAGGCCGATTAGCTCATAACGGCTGCCTTAATGAGGATGCCCTAATTAGGGTTTCTTCTTTTGGACCGATCGTCCAGGCCGATATAAATATCGTCCCGGACGATGTAACCAAAAATAGAAATATTTATGGAACAACAGAAAAATCTTCCAAGCTACAAAACATCAGAAGCCACACTAAATACAATAGACTCAAGAAAGGAAAAAAGTGTACAAACTGACTCAGACCTAGTCTATCCAATCTTGAGCTTGTTTCAAATTGCAGTCTGATCGTGTGGACCTAAAATATTAGTAAAAAAGGCAATCGTAGAGAAATAAGAATGTTTGCTATCATCAAAATCATAAACCATAGATCCGCAACATTGTATATTTTCTACATCCCCCCCCCCGCCATCAATTGTTGTCCCTCCTACCTAAATCACTTGTAGATAACAATCCCTCCGACCTATGTCGCCAATTGTCTACATTCCCTCTAGCCACAGTCATGCTGCAATGATTCTATTGACCAAATGAGCAACTCAACACTCTCTAGAGAATAACTTTCATATCACTAGATTCTTCTAGCTGTAACCAACTAATGTGCTCTATATGTTGTATAGTTTCTACATCCCCCCCCTCCCCCACACACACACACAAAGTAAGTGCCTCATTTGTAATCAACAATAAAAATTAGTATAATTATTTTAATTGGGCAAGACCCCATGTTTTTTCCCCTATTGAGGGTTTTCCACCTAAAATCTTGGTGTCTCTTATGAGTCTTATACCTCTCTTACTCTTATCTATTTATGTCTTCGATTTTTGTATAATATTTGGATGCTAAACTCTATATCTCTCTACCCCACAAATGTTCCAGGATGCAACAAACATACATGTGAATAAATTAGATTGTGAAAAAAAAATTGCAATTAAAACATTTTAAAAATATTAAAAATTCTAATCTAATAAAAGTGGGAAAGTAATCTATAAACTGAAGTCCTAAAAATATTATCCCAACCCCATTCTAACATATCCAAAAATAATTCAAGATATTATCTTGAAAATTTAATTAGAATAAAAATTTTAAAATAGTTAATTTTTTTCCCAGAGAAAAAAATATTAGATTTACTATAAAGTTATTGCAATATAAAACATAATCTACATTAATATTAAAATAAATTGAACAATTAAAAATTAATCGGTATTAATCTTCTTTTCTTTCACATTCATTTTTATCTTGCTCAGCACTGAAACAACAACGCCAGATTTCTCCTTTCGCTCTCGCTCTCCGTACCTAAATCGATAACACGCAACTGCCTGACTTTTTCAGTCCAGAATAAGATCCAAATAACGTGGCATTTTGTAATTATTAAAATTTCCTCGAAAAATAATTTTAATAAAATGACAGCGCCACATCATTCCCATCATTATCTCCTCCCAAAAAAATCTTACATTTCATCACCAAATTTTCTTATTTAGAAGAAAAAAATATTTATTTAATTTTTAATTCCCTTTTAATCTCAACAGAAATCGTAATAATTTTACAGAGAAAGGTAGGGACCACCGCTCGCCGGCCGCCTCCTCTCCGGTGCAAGGCGACCCGAACCGACGCTCAGCTCTTGATTAGGTCTGTCGACGCTTATCTGCTCTTCTATCTGTTATAAAAGAAAAGAGAGAAATAAAATTAAAAAAAAAAAATTTGGAAAGAAAGAAACTGAAGAGCAGAAAGCTGTATAGGTAGAAGACAAACCGGATCTCTTCTTCTTTGAATATTTCATTCGTCATCCGAAGTGTCCGGGCTCGGCTGCTGGTTAAGGTCCGGGTTCTTACAGGACCTTGAAGACTTCGCCGAAGACGACGACGTTAAAGGTTGCGGTAGCGGAGGGTGATTTTGTTGTAGCTGGGCGTCTACCCTTGCCCCTACCTCAGTTGCTTTCTTCCTGATCGACGCCGCCGAAAGACTAGCGGTGGCGGCGGCGACTTCTTCCATGATACCGCTGGTTGCCTCTTCTGCGTTGAGCTCGTCGGGAAAGTTTAGACGCGCTGAACGGCCTCGGAGCAGATAGACAGCGGTGTCGTATGCCCTCGCTGCCGCCACCGGAGTGGAGTACGATCGGAGCCATATTCTCGATCGCTTGTTCGGCTCTCTTATTTCAGCCACCCACTTTCCCCACTTTCTCATCCTTACTCCGCGATAAGGTCTCTCTCTTCCACTTCCCTCCGCCGCTGCCGACGCCGGAGGCGAGCAAGGCTGCAGCGACGGCGGCGGTCTTCTTCTTTCTTTTTTTCTCTCTTCCATTTCTCCCCTCTGCCGACCTTACCCCACTATCCGCTCTCCTCTATATTTATTTCTAAGCCGTTTGTTTGTATTTAGACGTCCAATTATAAGACCATATGAAAGGTTAGTATTACCGAGTTAAGAAAATAAAAATATATAATTATATATATATATATATATTTATTATAGACAGAAATAAATTCGTAAAAAATTTTCTGTCCGATATCCGAACCTAATAATTTCTCCAAACAATAACAGATAAGAAAATTTTTTAGTGGAGGTTTAAATTTATTTTGATAAATATTTCATCAACTTTTTCATTGAGATTTGGATGAACATAAACAATTTAAAAAATATATATAATATTAATAAACAAATACTAGTCATAATTAATATGTCAAAATTTACAAATCATTTATAAATCAAATAAATATCAATTATGATTTATTAAAATTTTAAAACAAAGTTGTTATTCATAATATTTTTAGATTTTACATTTAATTTTAACTTCCATTACTTTTTTTATAAAATATAGTATGTTAATAACTCTATTGATTTTTAAATTAATATAGACAAAGTAAAATAAGCTCTAATTTATCATCTATTATGATTTGCTATACTTTTCATATTTTTTAATAGATTGGTATGTGATGTCTACCGTCGTAATTCTTATATATAAATGAGAGGAGAAGAGAGAGATGATTCAGTTGTTGTGTGTGTGAGAATTGGACTGATGTTAGGGATATTTTGGTAGCCACTAAGTAGTCTCTTTGTTCTCTTCTAATTTATGTTTGTGCATTATGATAATATGTCTATTAATTATTAAATGTTAAAATTATTGTATTATTAGTAAAAATTATTTTCGAGGATGTGCAAGCAGTATGATTAAATTTACTTAAAAAATTGTAAGAAAAAAATTGACATGTATTTAACATTTAACGTAAAAGAAAAAAATATAAGAAGTTTATTATTCTTCTAAGGCTCTGATTCGGTTCGACCCGCCGCTGTCGGCAATAAAATCCGACACGTGGCAGCCGGAGAGCAACGGAAAGATTCCGAACCGCTATCTCAAACGGACACAAAAACTGCCGAGCCGAGCCGCGAGAAACCGGTAGCATATGTCCCCCGCCAGTTACAATCACCACACGTGTCAGTTAGAGGCCCCACGAGTGTATCCCCCGGCTTCATACACGGTCCACATCCTGTCGTTGGGCGCTTGTTTTATTAAGAGTTCATGGTGGTGGTGGCGGCTGTGGGGGATCCAACGGCTAGGATTGGTGGACGAAGGTCGGTGGCCTGTTCGACCTGGCGTCAACGCAATGATGAGCGGACGAGATGGCCGGCGGAGGAAAAAAAAAAGATAATTTTTTTTAAAGTAATTTTTTGTATTTATTATTATATTATTTGGAAATGTAACGAGGAATTTAAAGAAGTAAAAGGCTCCCGATTCCACTGCAATTTAATTTCGCGGCATGGCTGGTTCCCCGGCGCCTTTTGCCGCTGCAGGTCCGTTTTTTTATTTTTTTTAAGTAAAAAATTAATAATATTAAGCAAGCTGTTTAATAGGTCTCCGTTACTTATGGATATATTTTGGACTGTTGTGGAGGAGTGGAGGAAGGCGTATTTATTTTAGAGTGGATTATATTATATGTTATAGGATTAAAAGATGCCGTTGTATTATAATTGTGTTGGATATTGAAGCAAGATCTGTTCAATGGGTTTGCAATCTGATGAGCCTGTCTAATACAAGTATTTTTTTTATTATTAAGAAATGATTGCTACTAATAAATTTGGATTGGGATTAAGCTCTTGTCCAGCTGGGAAATTAGATTGGTAAAAAGAAATAAGTTAGGTCATGAGTGAAATTTTTTGAAAAGAGAGATTTAATTTATTCGTTTGACTTTTTAATTAGATTTGTTGGATGCTAGAAAATTTATGAAGCTAGAGAGTTTTATATCTTAGTTTTAAATGAAGATTAAGCATATGCATAGACAAATATAATTTATAAGAAACAATGAAGTTTTTACATGGATTAGCTGAAATGAAAAAAAAAATCGTTGGGTCTAGCCCGTTTAAAATGATTCACTATTGATACATCGCCAAAAATTGTCTTGCTCAAGCACGAATCTTGAGGCATATTTAAGTTGTCATCTCCCAAAGTTAAATTCGGACCATCTGAACTTCAATTCCAACAAACTTGTAGTCAAATCGAATGTCTCAGAAAGATGAACCCAATGACTCCATAATCGGCCAAATCTGAGCCCAAATGGACTTAAATCAAGGGCTTAAAGCATATTGAGAAACTTTAGAGCAATAATTAGATGACCAAATGATATCTAAATACAGCATGCTTATAGTCAAATCAAGCGGAATGATGAAATATATCCATTAATCCTAATTACTTAAATTTGACATGATTAAGATAATTGGATGAATGCTCTATCATCTGGAAATTCTTTTACTCTCTCCTGGAGTAGGCAAAGAACCTTGGAATTCTTTTAATCCCTCCTGGAGTAGGTAGAGAATCTTGGAATCCTTTTACTCCCTCGGAGAGTAGGTAGAGAACCTTGGATCTGATGCTGATGAAAGTCTCCCTAGAGCCACCAAGGAACTAAGGAAGAAGCTTGATGAAGATGGTGAAAACCTTGCGTGGAGAAACCTTTGTGAATCCCTCGCAACTCCCGCCTATAAGGATCTCTCTCTCTCTCTCTCTCTCTCTCTCTCTCTCTCTCTCTCTCTCTCTTTCTCTCTCTCTCTTATCCTTCTCTAAGCTCTCTCTCAAGTAACCCCAAAAATAAAAAAAATTATAATACGAGTATTAAAAATCCATAAATAGTGGGCTTAAAAAATCCTAAATTTTAAGAGATCCATCTTCTATTCATTTATTACGATACACGTATCGTACATTACAATCAGTGTAATTCAGTCTCGTCCAGCAAGATCATTCAGACAAACTATTCAAGTGTTATTAAATTTCATATAATATGATCAAAACATCGTATGGTACGAACTATAGAAATTTCTTTTGTTTATTTGGGATGATCCTTGGGACGGCTAACTTTGTACACTGGTGATCGTCTAGCACTGTGGACATCGTACAGTACGATTAGTATTAAAATCATGGATTTTGTTTGGTACGATCTTTAGGACGACCAATTTCATACATGGGAAATTATATAATATGAACTTTATCATACAATATGATCAATCATAATAATTATTTATGATTTGATTGCCTCATATCGTGGGATTAATTAAAGGAGATTTTAATTTGGGCATACAGTGCAAACCAAATCGTATTATACGATCAGTACATAATTAGTATCTTTCTTAATCTTTGGCAGCTAGAGTTTTGACAGAGCACAACACTTTATATAGTACAAATTAAAATTGTACATTACGAATTACTTCGTACAATACAAAACCAAGATTGTATAGTACAAATTACTTTAAAAAACAACTCTCTCAAAAATATTTTTATCTCTCCCCCTGTATGTGCATAAGGTAACTCAACAATGGTATCCACCCAATTACATGATACGACTCAAGAAGGAGAAAATACAAAATAAAATGAAAACCAAATGTAACTCTAGTCTACCCGTTCTTGAGCAGATCAGACTGGAAAGTAAATGATGGACTAATTTCTTAAATTGTTAGTACACATAAACACAATATAAAATATCACAAAAATAAGAGAAATCAGTAACAGATACAATAATATTTATTATCATTAAAATCATAATGTTTGAATCATGTTTGCATCACACCACCCATATATTAAGGTCCACCTATCCTCTATCGCCCTTAGAGCACCATTTCTAATTCACTACAGTCCCTTTGACCTCCATTGCCTATTAATAATTGAACGAATGTTTGGAATGAAATTTAAATTAATGCAAGAAATTAAAAAACATAAAAAATAAATGAACATAAAACCATAAAGAATATCTTAAAATTTTATAGTAGTTCAATCAACCTCGACCTACATCCACTCCCTAGAGCCCTCTTTGGGTATTACACTAAACTATAATGAGTCTCCTTTAACCCCCCACAACAAGGCAGAGAAGTCCTTTCAAATCACTTCCACCAAACATGATGTGGTGAATAACATAAAGCAATGCACCCTCCTGGTAATGACAGTGAACCTTTGAAGTCTTTCTCACTGAACTAGAGATGGCAGAGAACCTTCAATCCTTTTTCACCCTCCTAGTGAAAGAAGAGAACCCATGAACCTTAGCTTTGATGCTTCTCTCCCAAGAGAAACTCAAAGAACTCACCAAGGCCACTAGAGGAAGCAAGGTGTAAGCTTGCTAGGAGCAACCATGTGAAAACTCGTTACTCTCCTTCTCCCTCACACATAACCTCAACTTCACCCTCTTTAAGCCCAAGAGTTTTCTCAAGAATTCTCCCTCAAAGTTTCTTCTACATCCAAAAGTTTGCCTTGACATAAGTTTAAATTTCTTAAGTACAAGGCTTCAAAATACTACAAGTTTTTAATTAAGCCTTCATTATTCGTACAACACGATCTAGGTTCGTACAGTATAATTAGTTCAAAATAGGGCTTCATCCAATAGGACAGAGTAGTCATTTATATGAAATTTTCAATTTTTGTGTGCTTATCATATAGCTTCATCGAATATCCATTCAATACAATTAGTTTAATTTCCTTCTATTCATGTAGGATGATTTGATATCATCTCTATAAATTGTTCTGTATGATTTAAATCATACTGCACGTTTACTTAAACGTCAAGGGTTTACCCAACACAAATATTTTGAACAAAGTCAAACTTTCATCCTGTATGGTATCCGAGACGATCAAATTTCTTCTCTATTAGATGTACAGTATGATCTATTTCATATAATATAATTGACCATTTTTATTAAATCTTGATTTTATTAACTAATACTTAGGATATAATATAATACAAATAAGATTTCAAATATCATATAATATAATTAGGATCATACATTATGATTTATTAAAAAATCAATATTCAAAATACTTACTTAAATCATCTAGTGGATAGGGTTTCTTCATGGAAACGAATAGTACAATACGATTAGATTCATACA